GAAACCACTGCCATACATCAAAAATAGTAAATTGCACTTTTCGAATTCACTACAACAAATTAATCCTGTATTAAGAGGTTTTTTTTGGACAGTCCATATTTATATAACAGTTTCTCTTGTGGAGAAAATACCAGATTGTACTGAGATTTGCTTCAAATGAGGAGGAGAAGGGAAAGTAAAGGGGACAGAAGAAAAAAGATCGGCCATTAAAATAACTACTGGGACTTCCCTGGTGGCGCAGTGGTTAAGAATCCACCTGCCAATGCAGGGGACACGGCTTCGAGCCCTGTTCTGGGAAGGTCCCATATGCTGTGGAGCAACTAAGCCCATGGGCCACAACTAATGAGCTTTCGCTCTACAGCCCACGAGCCACAACTGAAGCCCGCGCGCCTAGAGCCTGTGCTCGGCAACAAGAGAAGCCACCGCAACGAGAAGCCGGCGCACCGCAACGAGAAGCCGGCGCACCGCAACGAGAGAAGCCGGCGCACCGCAACGAGAAGCCGGCGCACCGCAACGAAGAGTAGCCCCCGCTCGCCGCAACTAGACAAAGCCCACGCACGGCAATTAAGACCAAATGCAGCCAAAAATAAATTAATTGATTAATTTAAAAAAAGATAACTACTTTTGAAGTGGGGTGATCAGTGGTGGCAGGAATGTTATTACTTTTCTAATCTTGTACATACTTAAAGTTCGTACCAAAAACAGCTGAAGGGAAATCTTAACAGCTTTTCTGTTCTACAAATGATTCTACTTTCCTATAACCCCCTTTTCTTCAAAAACTCATTTCAATTCTCATACACCTTCTAAAACAGGCCAACCCATTCAATGGTTAGAAGCAAAACAACTTGGAGATATCATGAACACAGTATTTTCCATTTTGTCCTACTAGTTCTTCAGAGAACTTGCTAATTCACTACAGAAAGGCTGGTCCAAATCATCTCCCTCTGACTGGGAATGTAATTTCCAGCACTGTTCCCAAAACAAAGTAATTATTTCGAATAGTCAGGACCTTAAGACTATCTACATCATCGTTGTCACCATAATAAATAATCTGAACATATATGTATATGCTAGGACCTATACTAAAATATGTGCATTATCTTCTTAAATCTAGACAACAAGCCTATGAGAGATAATTATCTCTACTCACAGATCAGAAATTGAGACTCACAATTTAAGTACTGTGCCCAGGTATTAACTGATGGAATTAAGATTTGAACCTGGGCCTAATTCTAAAGTCTGTGTTTTTCTACTTTTCCATACTTTTCCATGTTACATTAAAAATGGGACAGATGGGGCTTCCCTGGTGGGGCAGTGGTTGAGAGTCCGCCTGCCGATGCAGGGGACGCGGGTTCGTGCCCCGGTCCGGGAGGATCCCACATGCTGTGGAGCGGCTGGGCTCGTGAGCCATGGCCGCTGAGCCTGTGCGTCCGGAGCCTGTGCTCCGCAACGGGAGAGGCCGCAACAGTGAGAGGCCCACGTACCGCAAAAAAAAAAAAAAAAAAAAGGGACAGATGAACAAAATACAGAAATGACAGTCTAGTCAAATTGCACATCAAGCCCATATAAGAGCCATATTTTGAAACTGCCAACAACCATACCTATCATTTCTTTTACTAAATTATAAACGCTGCCTTCTGAGAAACAGAAATTAAAACAATTCAAGTTCTTGATTAACTATTTCACAAAATTATATTGGCAAATGTTTACTGATTACTTATTGTGTGCCAAACACTGTTCTAGTTGCTTGGGGATGTAGCAGCAAAGAAGACACAGCCCTGTCATCTGGTGGAAGAAAATAAACAGTAAGCATATAAACAAATAAATAAGGTAATTTCATATACTGAAAATAAAGTGATATGTTATAATGCAACTGAAGGAACCATCTGAAATAAAATCATTAGGGAAGGCCTTTCTGCGGAGGTAATATTTGAGCTTGGATCTAAATGATGGGAAGATAGGATTAGAAGAAGCCTGAGAGGTAGTAGGCAGGGCAGGTGGTGTAGGACCTTGTAGACCTTTTACTTGTAGTAAAAAGAAGTTTAACCCTTTAAGCCTGTTGCAATGGGATATCACTGAAGGATTTTAAAGCACAGAAATGACATCTGTTTATGCTACAGAAAGATCACTTTTGAAAAATGATAGTAATGGAAGCTTCCATCAAACAAATTAAAACAAGTCTGAATAAAATCAGTAGAACCCAGGGCTTCCCTGGTGGCGCAGTGGTTGAGAGTCCGCCTGCCGATGCAGGGGACACGGGTTCGTGCCCCGGTCCGGGAAGATCCCACATGCCGCTGAGTAGCTAGGCCCGTGAGCCATGGCCACTGAGCCTGCGCATCTGGAGCCTGTGCTCCGCAATGGGAGAGGCCACAACAGTGAGAGGCCCGCGTACCACAAAAAAAAAAAATCAGTATAACCCACCATGGAGTGTGCTTCAGGAAGACTACTTGCCTTCTCTAAGTTATTTCCTTTATTGTTTTTTTAATTTTTATTTATTTATTTTTTGGCCATACTGCGCAGCTTGCGGGCTCTCAGTTCCCCGATCAGGGATTGAACCTGGGCCATGGCAGTGAAAGCCCAGAATCCTAACCACTAGGCCACCAGGGAACTCCCTAAAGTATTTCCTTTAAAGTGAACAAAAGTCTCTTATTACACATTATGAAATAAAGGATAAAAATGAAAATATCTCAGGAAGAGTTAACATAGTCACTTAAACTCCCACTGAGGTCTAAATATAAGTTACTAAATAATGGATGCCAAAGAAAAAAAGGAGAAGCAAAAGTGGCATCAGGAAAATGGACAGAAAGGCTGGGAATGCCAAAGACACCTATTTCACAAATTTGCCTAAAGCTGACTTAAAAACCAAACTGGAACTAAAATAATTCTAACAACAATCTCCTGAATATTTCTCTCAAAAGGCTTTATTTACAATAAGATAAACGATGTTCACTCAACGTAAACATAAAACAACTACAAATTACCCTTAACCATTTTAGAAAGTTAAGTTGCATTCCACCAGACAAAAAAAAATCAGGTTTATAGAAAGCCAAAAGCATTGAACTATACAAACTGTATATAATGCACTTCAAATGAAGTACTGTCTTCCTAGAGCAATCATTTTTTTCACTCTTAAAATATCAACAAGGGAAATAAGCTCAGGCACAATATCAAAAGTAGAGGCAGAAAAATTCTGGCTCCAGTGTATCTCGTTATCACTGACTGTAAAAAATATATTGTAATTGCATTTGTAATCCCACAGGCAGGGATGGCGACCAACTTATCCTTGCAAATGATGTAACCATACAGTTAAAGCACCAGAGCCCAAAGGTAGAAAAAGTAAAAATGTTTTAAAACAGGAAGAAAAATATGTTTAAGGAGAATACGTCCTCAGGCTTGAGCACTGCTTGCTACCACTGGTATACCAAAAACATTAAAGAATAATCATGAAAACATTACTTTACAAAGTTAAATGTGGCCATTGTCATCTGATATGGTGGAGTCAAACCCCAACTCCACCATTTTACTGTATAAACTTAAGCAGCTTACTTAACATTTCTGAGGCTTAGTTTCCACATCTGTAAATCAATTATTAAAAAATCTACTTCTTAGGGTTAGTTTAAGGTATAATGAGATACTAGATATATTGTAAATGACAAAGGGCTGGGTACATACTAGATACTTACTATGTGAGTCTTTGATAATGACTGGTACTTGATATTGTATGTTCTAATTTTACCTCTTGGAAAGAAAGTAACTTTGATCTGCTATTGGTAAATATAGGTAATCCTGCCTTGGTTATACAACTGTTTCTGCATATATTATCCAAAGAGCCACAAAACATCTCTCCCAACAATAACTTTATACACAAATGATTTGAAGTTTGGGGTCTATGATTTTGTAAATTTTATCCATCTGTTCCCTAAAAGTAAACACAAATTAAAACACTATAGGGGCAATAGCAAAAGGGGAATAAGAAGAATTAAGTGAATGATGGGTCTCACTGGTGACGTGCCATAGACAGGAAGCAGACCTAAAATTCAAATAGATATACATGGATTTAGGGTCAACCCTCTCTTCTCAGCAGGAAGCAACAAATGACTTCTCCACACTTTGTCCTAAAAGATCTGAAATTTTCTGCAATCCATGCTTCCTGACAGTCTAACAGACCTCTTTTCTGCAGTAACGCAGCAAAGTGAAAAAAACTCCACGATGTAGACAAAAAAGCAATTAACTGGGGTAAAAAAGTAGTACCTATTCAAAAAGCACACTTCCTGATTCTTTGTTTTGATTACCTATGAAACCAATTCCTATTCTTTAAAAAGGTATCTGAACTGGTTGAAAAGTAGCCGGATATGTTTTCCATTTTATGGTGTTAGTGGCGATACTGACTACGGTTGTTTCCGGTCAGTATCAAGAAGCCTGTATTTTACTGCAGCAAACATAGCTACAAAAACCTCTCAGGTGGTCGCCTCAGCTCTATGTGGAGCTCACGTTACCTCTTCATCTAGGTAAGGCCCTTCTTATTACACATCACACGTTTTTGGTCAGTGGAAAATAGAATGGTCCCACATATTCCAGCGAAGTAGGTGCATTTACTACTGCTTAAACCATAGCGTGTCTATCACCAGGAAAACAAGAAATCATTAACACGTCAGGGCCTATAAGAAATAAACGGACGCAACAATTTCTGTGAAGGTTCAGTAAAAACAACATCACCTTACAAAGCTCTGAAACAACATGTAAATCTCAACAGATTTGGGCCCAACGGCCCAAGGTCACACCAAGTCAGTCGCTATAAAATCCAAGAAATGATGAGCCTCCTGCAGTTCAGGACAATCCCGGCTAGGAACAGGGTCTGAGTTTGGGTACACTCTGGTCGAAGCTTTAATATGAACAACCCCAACCGAATGCAGCGGCTCCACAGGGAAACCCTAAGCGTTTCGGGTAGTATTTCCTTCCATCCCCAGTCTTCCCTTCCCTAGTCACCCCCCAACACTCACATCTCCGGAGCCACTTCATCCAATGGTAGACGATAGTAGTGTGGTGTTTCTTGTTCTCTATACACCAAGACGACAAGCCTTGAATAGATTCCATGGTGTTAGTTACCGACTGGAATTTTCGATCCAACGAGGACTCCAGAGCCCCTGCCGAAGAGGCCGACGAGGAGGAGGCCTTACTGCCGCCTCCGCCGCCGCCGGCCGCCATCTTCCCGGTTTGCACAAGCGCTGCTGCTCCTCTGGCGGCCGCGGCGGCGGCGGCGGCGGCGGGAGCGGGCAAAACAATCACTGCGAGTGCGTGAAAGCCGCAGGTGGGGAGGGGGGCCAGGGGGTGGGGATGGTGCACGCGCTAGGCTCTTCTGGAGGTAGGACGGGAGGACCAGCTGCTGGGCACGCTGGCGGCTCCTACACGCTGCAAAGAGGGGCTGCGGATTTCGACGGTTTATCGGAATTGTTCAAGGGATTGTGTTTAAACCAGTCAGTAATCACGGAAGAACTGCGCAGAAAACAGGTCCTGCAAAGCCTTTCTAAACGCCTGGCCCGGAAATTAATGGTTTTATACTCTTCGGCTCTCAACGCTTAAGGCCGTTGCCCACACTCCTCTAAGAGCGGGCATGAATATCTTAAAGTTAATACTACCCGACTGCCCCTTCAGTTGCAGAAATCTTTCTCCTTTAGATCCTCTAGCACAGAAAGGCGCAAGGCTACCTAGTCAGGATTTTTTTTGCAACGCAATAGCAGCAAAGGGACAGCAACACGATCGCGCACGCGCTGCTTGGCCCCGCCCCCCTGCTTCCTTCTCAACCTAGAAAAAGCAGAGGGAGGTGTGATGGCGGGGCAATCTGGCCAATCAAGGGAGAAGAACGGGAAGCGCGCGCAGAAGCCCACAAGCCCCAAGGGCTAAGGAGGCGCTTCGAGTATTCGTGCGCCTGCGCAGCAGGCCAGCGCGTAGCGGGCTGGGAGGAAAAACGGGGAGAGAAGGGTGGGAGAGGGAGTTGGTCAAACTAAGGAGAGGTTGGGGGAGGGGCTTCACCGCTCCGCCCCGCGTTTTGCTTCCTAGCGAGGTGTCTCCCTTGGGGCTGTCCAGCTCACACAGCAGGGCCGAGAAACTCCCACCGCTCAGCGGCCACTGTTATTTTCTGGCACCTGCAGCTGCCGCCGCCGCCGCCGCTGCTAATTCCTCGGGGCACCGACGCGCCACAAAGTAGCTAGCAGCCATCTTGCAGTGCCTCAGAGGATGCGCATGCGCCAGCTCCAGCGAGCCAGTCACTACGCAGACTCCCAGACCAAACAATTTTTTACACTCCCTTGGGACATTAACACTCACAGCCACTTGACTTTTTGGATTATAGGAAGAGGAAGTAAATGAAGTGAAACGAAAATTTTCCCCGTAGAATTTTCGAGACGCGGAAACAATAAAAGGCAAGATGTGATCTCACCTTCGCCAGATATGTTACAGCCTCACAATTGCATAATACATTATAGTTTACAAAAGCCTTAGATATTTATTATTACATTGATTAGCACAACCTAGATTAACCGTGCAATTGCATATGCCTATGTAAATTCTCTGGGCAGATTTGGAGACTTCTTTGTTCCACTGAACACATGCAGTTATTGTATTTTAATTCTTTCACGTCTTCCCAGTAGACTCACGTTTTTTGAGGCAGGGAACCTGTTTTGTCAAGCTCACGTATAGTATTTGTTAATTCAACAAAAAGTTGTTGAACGTCTTGTGCCAAGTACAGTTTTAGATGTGGGGGAGTAACATAGCAAAATAGACAAATATCCCTTTTTTCTGGGGCTTATTGGCAGGAGACCATAAAAAATATATCAGGGAGTAATAAGTTCTATGAAGTAGCATGAAGCAAGGTAAGGAAGAGAGAGGGGTTGTGTGTGTGGTCCTTAAGGGAATGGGAATGGTGGTTTGGTGATCAAGGAAGGCTTCTGGAAGGAAGTGATACTTGATCTGAATGTTGAGCACAAGGTAACCAAGCAAATATGGGGGAGGGGGAGAAAAACATGCTGGCAGGTGGAACAGCAAGTGTAAAGGACCTAAAACAGCAATGGCTTGATATATTAGAGGAAGAACAAGGAGGCCATTGTGGCTAGAGAAGAGGACAAGTGATAGAATATGAAATCTGAGAGGTGAAGGGAGAGAGTTCATGTAGGGCCTGGAAGGCCACTGTAAAGACTTTGGCTTTTAACTTTGAGGTGGGGAACACTTAAGCAGAGCAGTTTTAAGCAGAAAAGTTACATAGCATTCTCTTTAAAAGATTACAGTGGTTGCTATGTTGAAAATAGACTGACTGCAGAGCCACCAGAGGCTATTGGAGTAATCCAGACAAGGAAATGATGGTGGCTTCTACTAGCATGGCCAAAAAAAAAGAGGAGTGGCGTCAGATCCTGGATAGTTCGAAGGTAGAGCCGAAAGGATTGCTCATGGATTTAAGGGGAATATGAGAAGAAGAAAAAAAAAGAGTCTAATATGACACCAAGGTTTCTGACCTGATTAACTAGAACAGTGTTTCTCAGCCTTTTTTTCCATTGCTGTTGACCCTAAAGATTCTTCTTAGATATTTTTTCCTATTCCCCCAACCCCCATGAAATGTTAATACCACAGTTATATTGTATATCTGTTTATGTACTGTCTGTATATTTGTGCTTTATACAAGAGTAAGCATGAAGTTTACTTTTTATTCAATGCAGAGTTAAGTGTGACTAAAATCTTTGTTAAAAATTAAAAAAAATTTTGATGTCTTTCTTCCATTGGATGATTCTTCTTTTTTTTTTTTTTTTTGATATTTATTTATTTGGTTGTGCCTGGTCAGTTGCAGCTCGCGGGCTTCTTAGTTGTGGCATGCAAACTCTTAGTTGCGGCATGCATGTGGGATCTAGTTCCCTGACCAGGGATCGAACCCGGGCCCCCTGCACTGGGAGCATGGAGTCTTATCCACTGCGCCACCAGGGAAGTCCCAAAACTTAAAAATTTTAACGCTAATAATATTTAACTTTATAACTGTATTTGCTGAATAAACTTTAATGTAATTTATGTATATAAATTGTAATTCACTGCATTACATATGTAAATTAACAATTTATATAAATACATAATAGCAATGAAATCGGTTTTTGATTTTTTTTTTTTTTTTTCCACACCATGCGGCTTGTGGGATCTTAGTTCCTTGACCAGGGATCAAACCCGGGCCATGGCAGTGAAAGCGCTGAGTCCTAACCACTGGACCACCAGGGAATCAGTGTTTTTTTTAAATTTTATTTGTTTATTTATTTATTTTTGGCTGCATTTGGTCTTCGTTGCTGCGCACGGGCTTTCTCTAGTTGCCGCGAGTGGGCTTCTCATCGCTGTGGCTTCTCATTGCGGAGCACAGGTTCTAGGCACACGGGCTTCAGTAGTTGTGGCACACGGGTTCAGTAGTTGTGGCTCGCAGGCTCTAGAGCGCAGGCTCAGTAGTTGTGGTGCACGGGCTTAGTTGCTCCGCGGCATGTGGGATCTTCCCAGACCAGGACTCGAACCCGTGTCCCCTATATTGGCAGACGGATTCTTAACCACTGCACCACCAGGGAAGCCTGGGAATGAGTTTTTAAAAAATCATTCAAAACTGTTATATTTCCAGCAGAAGTAAAATAATTGAAAAATTAATTTCTTAAAAAAATTTAGTGAACTTTTAACTTTATTTTATTTATTTATTTTTGGCTGCGTTGGGTCTTCGTTGCTGTGCATGGGCTTTCTTTAGTTGCGGCAGGCAGGGGCTAGTCTTCGTTGCGGTGCGCGGGCTTCTCATTGCAGTGGCTTCTCTTGTTGCGGAGCACGGGCTCTAGGCACGCGGGCTCAGTAGTTGTGGCACACGGGCTTACTGACTTTGCATACAATTTTTGTATCTTCCATGAACTCAATGTCATTGCTGCTTGTGTCACACCCAAGAAAATGAGAGAAATTAAATGAGTAAGATTTTGTTTGGTAGAGTTGAGCTTTGGAAGGTGACAAAGCATTGTAATATCTAAGACTTTTTCATCCCCCAAGAGCCAACTTTTTCTCCGTGTGGGGTGATATTGTTCCCTCGGAGAATGGATTGCCATTTTCTCAGACGGACTAGGGGAGGAAAGGGGAAGGAGCAGTCCTGTGAGAAATGAGTAGAAATCGGGATTTCAGTTAAACATCTTGAGTATCAGAGGCATAAATGGCACCAGATGTTGCGAGTCTAAAGTTCATGAAAAAGTTCTTGGTAGGAAACATCAGTTTAAGAATTGTCAGTATACAGATGATCTTAAAGCCATGAGATGGATGAGGTTGCCCAGAAGTGAGTGAGCGTAGATAGAATAGAGGACCAAGGACTGGGCTATAAGGAGCAAGTTTCAAAGGATATTGAAAATGAATGACCAGCGAAGGAGAACCCAGAAAGTAATGTTCTGAAAGCCATGTAATGAATATTTGTCAAGCAGAAGGGAGTAATTGTGTCAGGTGTTGCTGCATAGGTTGCATATGTTGAGGACTGAGATAACCACTGAATCTGGCAAACACAGTAGTCACTGGTGGTCTTGACAAGGGCTGTTTCCAGGAAGTGAAGTGATTAGAGAGGGTTCTAGAGAGAATGGGAGATGTGGAGTTAATGTGGTGACAACTCTTTCAAGAAATAAAATGGGATCAGAGAAATGGAGCTGAAGCTGGAGGGAAATGTGGGTTCAAAAGGTCATTTCTTTTTTCCAAGGTGGGAAATGATGTAGCTATTATCAGATGCTACAGTTGATACAGGATAGAGATGGGACAATTGCTGGCTGATTTCCTTGAGTAAGTGGAAGAGGATAGGATCAGGTGATAGGTCCATAGACAGTTCCTTTCTTGTAACAGGAAGGTAGAATCTAGGTAGAGAGATTCAGGTAGGTTGATAGATGTGTTGGTGAGAATGTGCAGAAATTCTCTTCAATTGCTTCTCTTTTCTCAGTGAAATAGGTAGGCACTGCAATAGGTGCTGAGGAAGCACACTCTTAAAAAGCATCAAAGATCTATTAATTGCCAATTCCAGTGCACTGTTTACAGTCTCAGCCTTCAGCTTTTTCTGTTAGTGCAATGGTTTAGAGTAAGACACTTAGAACCAGACTGCTCAAATTCAGGCTCTGCCACTTGCCGTTGGCAATTTACTTGCGAGTGGCAATTTACTTTACTGCCACTTACCATTGGCAATTTACTCTCTGTGGTGCTATAATTATTAAATGAGTTAATGTGTGCACAGTGTTTAAAGTAGTGCCTGGCTTAGTAAAGGCTTGATGATGTTGATGTCAGCTATTATTTATTATACTTAAATCTTTCTTAAAATTCATTTCCCTTTGCTTCTGTTAAATATACAATCATTAATCAGATCCCACTAAATGGATCCTTTCTCCGCCCATTGCTAGTTTTCTTACCCCCTTGTGTTTGCCAAAGTTCCATTTTTAGCCCTTCTCATTTTTATGCTCATTCTCTCCCAAAGATTAAATTTATCACCTGCATTCAGATTTATTCAAGTTGGATATCCTAGTTATCTTTGATTCTACCCCTTCAACTAGTTATCAAATCTTGTAGACTTCTACCTAGATATTTCTTGCGTGAATTCCCTTCTTTTCATTCCCCTTGCCCTCTACCTAAAGATTATCACCTTTCTACATATCAACAGCATCACGATCAGCTTCCTAGTATATCTCTTCAGCTTATATACATTACCAAACTAATCGCCTAGTTTTCCCCTACTCAAAAAACAAAACCAAAAAACTTGTTCCTTGTTATGTACCAAGTTAAGTAAAAGCCCTAACTTTTAAGACCCTCCACAATGGTTCCAATCTAACTTCCCAGTATTATCTCAAATGCCTTTCCTCCAAGGTTCCTTGGGCTCCAAACTGTTCCTTTTCCTTAAATATATCCTGTAATTTTCTATTTATAATTAATTCTGCCTAAAATATCCTCTTCTATTACCAAAATTCTACCTATCTTTCAAGAACTATCTTAAATTGCCTCTTTCAGGCACTATCTTAAGAACTATCTTAAATTGCCTCTTTCAAGAACTATCTTAAATTGCCTCTTTCAGGCAAACTTCCCTGATCATTCCAACTGGATCGAATCTTTTGAACAGTAGCATTTTCTGCCCTGAATAAAATTACATGTATGTTAACTACAGAATATTGCATTGAATAACATGCAAAAGCACCCTGATTGCTAAACAGTGCTAGTTATGACTGAATTGTCTTATCCAAAAATAATTATTTGGTACCTATATTACAATGATATTGCCATTGTTCAAGATATTTCTGGAAATTCATCAAGGTAAGCCACATATAGGAAGGACAAATCAGTCCAGTAACTTTATATTTGCATTTTTTAACAAAGAAAGCTATTATCTACCTTGATCATTTCACTTAATTCTCCATGATAAATTCCAAATGACTTTTAAAGTTCTCTCCAGAACGCTACAGAGGACAAATAACTGCCATTAACTAAAGATATAACTTCAGATTATGAAAGAAATTACTAAAGTTCACAATGTATTCTAAGTGATAACAGCATCCCAAGATAGGAATTATTCTGAGTCTAGCATTCATCTGAAAGAACACATCTGTCCCTACCACCTATTTCACAAATGAAGCAGCATGTGTAGGGACTAAGTTTGGGTTCTAGTCAAACCTGGGTTCAAATTAAACTCCATCACTTACTAGCCATAACCTTGAAGCAAATTACTTACTCTTAGCTTCAGATTTACTCTTAGCTTCAGATTTCTCACCTCTAAAAATCTACTTTCCTCATAAATTTGTTCTGATAAAGGAGGCAATGCATATCGAGCACAATGCTTAATACAGTACAGGATCAGATAAATTAAAAAACCACCACCACCCTGAAGCACAGGGAGTTAAGACTTAAAACAAGGATTAAGTCTCTCTATGGGTACAGTAAGCCCCCTACAGACGAACCTTCAAGTTCAGAACTTTCAAAGATGCAAACATGCCCCTGTATGCCAGCTGTTGTACTGTACTACTGTACTTTTCAAGGTACTGTACTGTAAGATTCAAAATGTTTTGTTATGTATTACTTTGTGAAAAGTATTACAAACCGATTACAGTACAGCAATTGTGAATTGGGTTTTGTTGGATGTACGAACAAATTGGACTTATGAATGTGCTTGTGGAATGGAATATTTTTTTTAAATTTATTTTTGCTGTGTTGGGTCTTCGTTTCTGTACGTGGGCTTTCTCTAGTTGTGGCAAGCGGGGGCCACTTTTCATCGCAGTGCGCATGCCTCTCACTATCGTGGCCTCTCATTGCGGAGTACAGGCTCCAGACGCGCAGGCTCAGTAGTTGTGGCTCACGGGCCTAGTTGCTCTGCAGCATGTGGGATCCTCCTAGACCAGGGCTCGAACCCGTGTCCCCTGCATTAGCAGGCAGATTCTCAACCACTGCACCACCAGGAAGCCCTGGAACTCATTCTTTTATGTAGGGAACTTACTGAACTTTATAATGAACAAAAAGACTCCTTTTAGGGCTTCAGCAAACAATACATTTTTGAAGTTGTATATAAATTATTTACACGCATATTTGTAATAAATCCTTTAATAAAAGCAAAAGCACTTACTTCTGACAATGTTTTCCCCTGGATTTGCTTAAATCACGAAATATCAATTCTCTAGCTCCTAAGTCTCACAGATATAGGCTTTTTTTTCGGTTTCTTCCTGCTCTAGGAATTAGTAATGTCATCTGTCTGGGTTATAGTTTGCTTATCTCTAAAAAAGAGGTTGTATAGTTTTTCCTTAAGGCCTTTTGCAGTCCCTTGTCTCTTTCCACCTTTTTTATCCTAGCACTCTCTAATGCTGCCTTAAAATTGGAACTCTAACTAGGGCCTGAAACAGTAACTTCTTAATTTTTAAAAATTTTATTTATTTTTGGCCATGCCATGTAGCATGTGGGATCTTAGTTCCCCAGCCAACGATCCAAACCGTGACCCCTGCCTTGGGAGCATGGAGTCTTAATCATTGGACCACCAGGGAAGTCCCCACATTTTTTTTAAAGGGGTTAATTTGATAACATAGAATGTTTTAACTTCTGGTCAAGTATTCATTCTGACACTACTTCCTAGTTAACTCCAATTAGCAGGGAGGAACTCTAATGGCTCCTATGTTCAATTCATTCTCAATACATCCTCAACAGGCAACATGAAATGGAACGATATTTATGGTAAGAATTTTGGACTTCTATGGATACTTATTCTGACCCAAATACTCCTAAAATCAAACCAGAAACATTAAATGCTTAAACAGAACTGCATCTTGTCAGATTCTTGGGGGTGGGTGGGAAAAAGAAATTACACATTGTCTTTTAGAAAAGGATTGGTTTCTTTAATTAGTAAAGAGAATAGGCTAAATTCCCAAATCCTATTCCCTTTTACAAACTGACCCATAACATCCTCTTTGGACTCTCCTTCTGTGTCCATTTCACCCACGACACAGCTTCTCATATATTCACCCATATGAGGAACTAATTTCCTGTTAAGACTACTCAGCCAAGACCAGAAGTAATCTGTCAACCTCGTGACTATCCACTGAAGGTTAAGAGATGGAAATTCCCTCTCCCCTATCCACTTAATACCTTTTCCTTCTTCACTCTGCTCCAGGAAAACAGTATTTATCATTCTTGCTCTAAGATGAGGTCAGAAATTTCCATTATCCAATCATCCATCCATTCGTTCATCCATTTATATATTCATAAATATCAATGACAAAATTTTCTTTTTCCACAGCAATTGCTAGAAGTCTGGAGAAAAGATCACCTGAAGACCCAAACTCCAATACCTTTGAACGTGTGAAAAATATCATACCGACTTTAAAAATAACTCTTTAATCATATTCACATAAGGGGAATAAAGGGCAGCACCAGGCTGTCTGGGGAAGGAAGCAAGGTGTTCTCCCTTTGTCCCAATGTCAGCCTGGCACAGTTCTGAGATCACACACACAAGTAGGGCTGGGTTTGGAAGGAGAATAAGGGAGAGGACTGAAGAGACAAAGGCAAGAAGGGAGAGGCAAGGGCTTGCAGTAGTCTCAGTCGGTGGACTCCAACACAGATTCACTCAGCGCAAGGTCCCAGTAGTGCTCAGCCCCATGCTTTTTGAAATGCTCCCGAGCCATGTTCTCTGTAGGGCACTGTTTGAACTTCATCTCCCCAAAGCTCCGGTCTTTGGCTGTACCCTGGGAAAGAGACAAAATTTTTAATAAAAACACTGCAATTTCTAATTTAAATCAGATATAATATTCCTTTATAAAACTTAATAACACCTGTGTAGCAATATGCCTACCTGAACATAATTTTATGGTAAAAACAATTCTAGGGACTTCCCTGGTGGTCCCGTGGGTAAGACTCCATGCTCCCAATGCAGGGGGCCCGCGTTCGATCCCTGGTCAGGGAACTAGATCCCGCATGCATGCTGCAACTAAGAAGCCCACATGCCACAACTAAAGATCCCGCATGCCTCAAATAAAAGATCCTGAGTGCTGCAACTAAGAACTGGTGCAGCCTAAATAAACAAATATTAAACAAACAAAACAAACAATTCTAACCTCCACCCCCTTGGATATTTGCTGAGTTTTCATGACTTTATATGGGTTTGTTTTTTTGACTGAATGGAAGATGAGGAGTTCTGTGCTCTGGTGCCTGGATGGAAGAGTAAGTCAGGAAGGACTACGGAGGGTGAGATGGGATGAACTTGCCTCCCACCAGGCCTCCAGATTTGGGCATTTAAGGAGAAAGGAGTTAGAGGCTAAAAGGACTCTTTTCATAAGACTTAGTGAGACCATGTATATAAGCAGGAGGTTTTGGGGCCCAGTGACAAAGAACAATCCAGGGGTTCGGGGGAGAGAGGAATGGGAGCCAAGGGGGATAACCTGCAGACAACTACAATAGAAAGATTCAGTACTTAGTGGAACTGCATTCTCATCAAAGGGACTAGCTGCAATGGCAGTCACAAAGTGCTAGAGGCTTTCAGGGATCAGATTCCAAAAAGGAGGCTAAAGCACAATTTGGCTTATTTCTGAACCTGAGAAATAATTCCTGAGGACTCTCAGAGATAAATGGAACAGAATTTTAAAGAGGTGAAGGGGCTGGGGGATATTAAATATGCATATGGGGACTTATGAGACACAGAAACAGTTATTATGGTTATTATTACCTACTTAGTATGCATAAATTGGAGGAATCTGGGGTAAGACAGAAGGATACATGAAAAACAGTAGCAATTACCTATAGAGTGGTCTTAAAAAATGAGTGAATTGGAAGGGACTATTTCAGTAAGTGATCTTCTGTGTTGTCAGAATTTATTTTAATGAGCATTCACTACTTTGGTAGTAAAGTACTACTTTTTTTGTTTTCGGGCCATGCTGCATGGCATGTGGGATCTTAGTTCCCCGACCAGGGATCGAACTCACGCCCCCTGCAGGAGAAGTGCGGAGTCTTACCGCTGGACTGCCAGGGAAGTCCCAAAGTACTACTTCTATAATAAAGAACTAGTTACTAAATATGAGCACATTTAAAAAATAGAAGATACACACACGCATGCAACCTAGAAGAATAAAATGAAAACATTAAATCAACACAAAGGTAGAAAATATTTACAATGTATAAAATGTATTTTGGAGTGGGAATAAAAGGATTACTGCAGTACATCAGGATAAGAATATAGTTACTGAGGAAAGAAACTTTTAATGCTTCCTGGAGAAATAGGATGATATTTTACACTTCACAAAGGGTGAATGATCCTTAGTTCACAACTTGGCCTGAACAAGCATATTCACTCATTCATTCATTCTTCAGAATAGTGTGGCTCACTAAGAAAATTTGAGGGATGAAAGAATTGTATAACCATAAAAAAATTCCATTTTAAGAGTGATTTAGTCACATTTTGCAAAGCATCATTACATAATAATCAAATTAGGTTCTCAAAATAAAACTGACAATAGGGAGAAAATAATATCCACATTTTATAGACAAAGCAACAGTTTTTGACATTAAGTGTCTTGCCCAGTTACACAGCTAGTAAGTGATACTGCCCAGACTCCCAACTTTGTATTAAGTCTAGTACTTCTTTCACTATATCCAAAGGAAAATTCTACAATTCATTTCCCTCTTTCCAAGTCTCATATCCATGACTGTGAAATAAATAAATCGAGAATTTGTATTCTTGCCACCAGTTTCCATACTTTTCCCCAGATGGCATAAAGTATATACCCATCAATTTAACTAAAATATAATCAGGAAGGATTTGCTGCCAAATACTTAACAATGAATTCCAAAAAGAAATACAAATTACTTAAGGGATTAGTCATTATTTAGTTTTACTATTATATTGCTCCATTTGCGTAATATAAACAATCAGGAATTAGCTAAAGTCCTGCTTCAGTGTTTAATCACCTACCTCCCAGACTAGTACACATTTGTTGGTTTTCTTCACAGCTTCCTCATCAGATTCCTCATCATCTGGAAAAGACAATTAGCTAAATCTTGCTCTAGACTTAGATCAGACATCAAGATTTAGGTCCTAAACAAACAGTATTCAAGCCTACCCAAATTCTTTTAAATATCATCACCTTTTCTCATGTACTGGGATCAAATGTCTTCTGTTACTCTTTATTTCCCCCCAATTAGACTGAAATCTCCAAACAGGTAGGGACATTAATTAATTCAACAAACATGTATTGAGGACCAATTACATGTCAAGAGCTGTGACAGGTACTGGGAATAAGGAGATAAATAAAAGAACAATAAAAACTTGTCCTAAGCACTTCAGATGCCAAAATGATAAGAGTCCATTCTCAAGGAGTTTTTAGTCTAATGAAGGAGGACAGATATAATGAATGAAAATATCTTAGGAACACTTGCGAAACAAAATAAAATATAGATCAATTATAGTAAAAAGTGTAGTTTAAGTACAAAAATAGGGAAGAAAGAAAAGTATAGAAGGGCCAAAGTTAAGAAAAGTAAGGTTCTCTGCATATGTTAAATGCTAACTCAGGTCTTCAAAGAAGGGAAGAATAATATTGATGGAAGAAGATGGCCTGAAGGATGTCAAATAAATATACAAGATAAACTTGGGCAAAAGAATAAAAGTTTATTTTCTTGAATGAAGCAGAGAGCTTTTTTTGATCTGAAAAATATTTTTTGCTCTCAATCCTTTAAAAAACTTTTTGTCAAAAAGTTATATAATATAGACAATGCACATATGAATGCGCAGCTTGCTGAAATTTCACAAACTAAATACACTCATGTAGACAGTATCCAGAGTCTGGGCTAACAGGGAAACCAGCTAGTAGAAAGGCCTTAAAGGACAGGCAGGAGAATAACTAATACTCATGCATATGATCATATAATAAATACTGTATGAATGTCTAGCATGCTTAAAGTCCAAATGGGTCTTTCTAAAATTCTTAAACATTATCTGGTATTTGCAAGAGTGTCAGAGAGAGGGAACAGATGAATGGACAGAGTACCATCCCACCTCCCACTTAATCCCCTCTAACCCCCATTCACCATCTCCCTTTGTGTTAGATGTCTGTTCATCCCACTTTATCCGATGCAGCATAAGACGCTTAAATTTCTTCTGGGCCTTGGGGCCTAGAAACAGAGAAGGAGAATTTTGCCAGAGTTGTGGAAGACGATGGGGTAGAAAGAACGTTTGTGTGCATTCAATGCTCAGACATTAATGTGGTAGCTGAAGCAATCCCAGGAACCACATCTTAGGTCCTTCTACTCCAATAAACACAGAAACAGAGGCCCAAGATATTAAACCCAGGTATGGCTCTAAAATACTATCTTTTTCTCCTTTCTTCCCACCATGTTAATCACTTCAAGGCCTACGGTTGCCTCAATTTTTTCAGACTCACCCCCTTCCACTACTACCACGTTGACATCCTTGTGCAGTACCACCACCCCTGTCAGGTACAGCTGCCCAGCATTGGCCTCAATCTTGAACTTCTTGGCTGGGTTGCTCAAATTTCGAACTCTGGAGAGGGAAAGTTTAGTTATGGCTTTCATTTTAGCATCAGCAGTTGCCTGAATGGAATGGCAAATAAAAATGGATCCAAAATAGTTTTCTCTCTAAAAACAAAGGCATTTGGAGTAAGCAAATATACTAATGCTTAAAGGTAGAATTGATGAATCCAGAAGTATTTCTACTGTCTTAAACTTCTTCAAAGTCTAGCACTGTACACTTTACAACAAATAGCAGGTAATCAAAATTTAAGAATGAAGAAGAGATATTTACCATCATCCAAAAATATTTATATGCTAGTTGTTCTTGACAGTATAAAGACCAACAAATTCTTTGCCCTCTAGGTGCTTATAATATAAAGTAGTCACAATGCTATGCCTGAAAAATTTCTTGAAGAATATACGAAAAACTGTCAGTGGCAATTACCCACAGTGAGTGGTCCTAAGGGATCAGAGAATAGGAAGGGGACTTTTTCAGTAAATGTCCTTCTGTATTGTTAGAATGTTTTTTATCTTAGTAAGCATTCACTACTTTTATAATAATGTGCCGTTTTTATAATAAAGAACTAAACAGGAGCACGTCTAAACAGAAGATACACATGTACTTGACATAAAAGAATAAAATGAAAACATTAAATCAACAGAAAAGGTAGAAAATATTTACAACATGGAAAGTCCAGGGCTTCCCTAGTGATGCAGTGGTTAAGAATCCACCTGCCAATAGTGGACACAGGTTCAAGCCCTGGTCTGGGAAGATCCCACATGCCACGGAGCAACTAAGCCCGTGTGCCACAATTACTGAGCCTGAGTGCCTAGATCCTGTGCTCCACAACAAGAGAAGCCACAACAAGAAGACTGCTCACTGCAATGAAGAGTAGCCCCCACTCGCCGCAACTAGAGAAAGCCCGTGCAGCGACGAAGACCCAATGCAGCCAAAAATAAAAACAAATAAATAAATCAAAAATAAATAAATAAATAAATAAAGTCCACTTTGGAGTGGGAGTAAAAGGATTACTGCAATACATTAGGATAAGGATATAGTTAACTGAGGAAAAAGACTTTTAATGCTTCCTAAAAAAATAATATTTTATGCTTCATAAAGTATGAATGATCCCTAGTTCACATCTTGGCCTGAATAAGCATATTCGTTCATTCATTCTTCAGAACTAGTATTAGTTCACTAAGACCTCAGAGACAGAAGACTAAGTTTTTAACCCTCACCAATGAAAAAGATCTACTAGCTCTTGATTTACACTAGGGTCGTTAAAAGAGAGTAGAGCTGCTATTAGGTATGCTTTACACCAGTGATTCTGCCTCAATCACCTGGAAAATGTTTTGGTATTTCTAAGGAAAAGGCTGGCCCAGTTTGGACACCTACCTATAAACAGATATGTGTACCCCCTGTGAAATGTCTTCTTTAAGCTTTTTAATTTTCTTGACCTTTCTCTGTTCTGCTGTAAGTTTTCGGGCAGCGTTGGCCTCTTCATGCGCTCTGTCGTGACAGGAAGGACATCCACAAGTGAGAAAGGCATTGAAGATCAGAGGCAGGGCTGAGGGAAAGAGAGAGCAACGGAGAACTCTCCCCTCCCTCCAAATATGGATCCCCCAGAAGAGTCTGGGAAAGGTACTTGCCCTGGGTTTCCACCCAATCCCATGGCACTTACTTCTGTCTTTTTGCCATCTGAGCTCTGACATGGGCTTCTACCTTCGTGGGGTCTTGAACAGCTTCTGTTCCTAATACTCGCATCAAATTTGAAATTCTTACTGCAGTGAAGAGATGATAGAAATCAATCTCGTAAGTCATTACTCCAGCTGGGATAACCTGTCAATCTCTTCTCTACTAATTCATATCATTCACCTATTTCAAATCTCTGCTCAAAACTCACCTCCTCCAAATACTCTTACCTTGAAAGCCCATCCAATTAATTCAGCATTTGAGGGAGGTCACATAATTAATCTAAATAACTGGTATGCATTTATTCACATTGTTTGAAAATTTACGAAAGACAAGGAACTTAATTTCTTTGGCATTTTTTTTTCCTTTTTTTTCTTTTTTTTTCTTTTTGCGGTACTCGGGCCTCTCACTGTTGTGGCCTCTCCCATTGTGGAGCACAGGCTCCGGACGCGCAGGCCCAGCAGCCATGGCTCACGGGCCTAGCCGCTCCGCAGCATGTGGGATCTTCCCGGACCAGGGCACGAACCCGTGTCCCCTGCATCGGCAGGCGGACTCTCAACCACTGCGCCACCAGGGAAGCCCTTTGGCATTTTTCACTCTCATCATAGCATTTAGTGAAAGATCCTATACATAACAGTGCTCACTCAAAATATTACTGATAATGGAAACTACAGGAGTGAGGTTTTTTAAACTGCATTTTCATTTTTCAAACATTTAAGAATTATGTACATAGCAACTCTATGCAAATACTCCAACTACTATCTTCATGAATTTCAAGCCTATTATTCTTCCAGGAGTATAGGAATGTTTTATGGTCAATATTAGTTAAAAAAAAAAAAAAAAGCCTTAAATGACATCTACAATGACTATGTTGACCTGTCTTAATAAGCAAAGACAATAGAAAATTTAGGAAAGGAAAAACCAATGAATGATTCTGAGAAACAAAAAGCACCCAAATATAGAGAGATGCTAAAGTTCCTCTAGAATGACAGAGATAAACTCGTCACCCTTTCTTCCCTGCCTCTAAGATACGTACCTTTGGGTTCTGGAGGAGGCATCAGGCCTAGCCTGACTTTCTCTTGTAGCTCCTTCTGTGCTTCCCTCCTTGTTTGCCTTCGAAGTTTCTTCTGTTCCTTCTTGGTCAGATATACCCCCAGAGTAACTGGTGTGTCATTGTCGACTGTCAGGCAGAGAAATGAATGTACCAAAGCAATAAGCATATTAGAGGGATACAGGTGAATATCAATCACATTAAAAGAAACTTTACAGCAACATGGATTGACCTAGAGATTGTCATAATGAGTGAAATAAGTCAGATAGAGAAAGACAAATATATGATATCACTTATATGTGGAATCTGAAAAAAGGGTATAAATGAACTTATCTACAAAACAGAAACAGAGTTACGGATGTAGAAAACAGACTTATGGTTACCAGGGGGTAAGTGGGAAGGGATAAATTGGAAGACTGGGATTGACATATACACACTACTAATATGAACCTACTGTATAGCACAGGGAACTCTACTCAATACTCTGTAATGGCCTATATGGGAAAAGAATCTAAACAATAGTGGGTATCTGTATATGTGTAGCTGATTAACTTTGCTGTACGCCTGAAACTAACACAACATTGTAAATCAACTATACTCCAATTAAGATTAAAAAAAAGAAAAAGAAAGGACCTCTAGTTTGCTTTTAGTTAATTTTAGGTCGTGATAATGGTATTATAGTTATGTCTTTAAAAAGCATTCTTTTTTTTTTTAATTTATTTTTGGCTGCCTTGGGTCTTCATTGCTGCTCGCAGGCTTTCTTTAGTTGCGGCGAGTGGGGGCTACTCGTTGTTGCAGTGTGAGGGCCTCTCATTGCAGTGGCTTCTCTTGTTGCGGAGCACGGGCTCTAGGCACATGGGCTTCAGTAGTTGTGGCTCGCAGGCTCTAGAGCGCAGGCTCAGTAGTTGTGGTGCACGGGCTTAGTTGCTCTGCGGCATGTGGGATCTTCCCAGACAAGGGCTCGAACCCATGTCCCCTGCATTGGCAGGCGGATTCTTAACCACTGCCCCACCAGGGAAGCCCCTCAAAAGCATTCTTATCTTTCATGAGTAATGTTCTAACTTGTTTTTCTTTAAGCAGTTGAACCCTTTTATAAACTGAAATGTGACAAATATAGAAAACAAAATTAGAGCTGCTCCGGCTGCTCTGTGTGAGGATTTGGAGTAGGTGGGGGGTATCCAGAATCCCATTTGGATCCTACTTATTGAACCTCAACGTGCCTATGGAATACAATTTGAAAACCACTGGCCAACATTAGGAAATTTATAATTTAAGAGTCATAGGGATTGGGAAAAATCTTCTGAGCTCCCAAAGCAGATTTACTCAATTTGTTAAAACAAACAAAATCCCCCACTTTCTTCTAATGATTCATGCTGATGACAGCTAAGTACATTCTGATTAAGTATAATTCAATGATTATTATTCTTTTATTATCACAGGGTCTCAATCTATTTTTATGAACTTATTAGAGATACTGGCAAGCAAATTTACTGAGTAAATTTACTGAGTAAAAACTAACCTCCTCTATTCATCTCAAATTTGATGAAAATGTTAAAATCTTCTGTGATTGCTTAAGAGGGAATATCAGTATTATCTCTACATATGAGGAAATTCTGTATTATAAGTGATTTACCCAAGGGATTCAGCTAGTTCACAGCCACAACTAAAACCCATCTCTTCTGACTGAGCCAACAGACTTTCACTACAAAAATGATAAAGAGAAAGGCTGAAGAAAAAGAAGATTGAAGAGGGCCAGGAGTTTAATGGTGGTGTACTAGAGTTGGGAGTCAACACTATGGCAAAAGCCCAATTTGTAATATACATCAGTGATGCCATCTATAGATTAGACCTCAATGCTCTACAGCTGCACTGTCCAACACTGTAACCACTAACTACATGTACTATTTAAATTTAAATTAAAACTGAATAAAATTAAAAATTCAGTCCCTCAGCTGTATTAATGCAACTTGGTTTTCAAGTTCTCAATAGTCATGTGTGCACAGCAGCTATAGTATAGACAGCCCAGACAGAGAACATGCCCATTATCACATAAATTTCTATTGGCTAATACTTCTCTAGAGCTTTGATTGAGTAATCTCTACATTACCTGGAGGGTTGAGCTGGGCTGGATGTTCAACAAGATTCGTGATTCCAAAATAATCTTCTCTCTTGGGATTTTCCTCTGTACTAAAATTGGAGGAAGAAGGGAAAACAGGATATGTGGGTAGAGATGATTCCAAGAGAGAGGGAATCTCAGAAACACAATGAAAAAATCCACCCCCCCATAATGCATTCTAGAACTTTTTACAGTATTTGCATGTCTATAATATGTAATATATTACTTATAATTTTCAAGATGACAAAATGGTCCCACTAAGGTTGGATGCACTCTCTACACCAGTCATTGTCAACCTTTTTTTTCTACCCTAACACCCCTGATGGACACATATTCTCTCATTAGTAACAATAATTCGCTGGGACAGAGGCTGACAAAGGAAGCATAAGGAAAGGCTGAGACAGTCTCCTAAAGCCATGTATCAGAATAATGGAGCAGATATGATTGAAGCTTGCCAAATGTTTCTTATACGCTTTATTTATCATTCTCTCCCCCATCAACTAAGAATCCTTGCTCTATTCTAGGACTGGATCTTTAAGAAATGTAAACACCTATTATAAGTAGCAAAAGAAGATAATTAAGAAAACAAATATGGTAAAAACAAATAACAATGTATAACAAAGCAAGCAGAAATTTTACAGATTTGTATAGATTATTTAGACTATATGTGCCCAATCCTCCTACATTAACCGAAAAAACTAAAACGACCCATACAACATATTCTTTACAAATATATGAGCTTGTATACGGTTATCTATCTTCCTTGGATTTAAATTTTTTACTTAATGCACAAGTACCATCTTTCCCATTAAAACTCTAGCCTTATGAAAAGGTATTAACCAACAAACTCACAGGTCAAAGCCATTGGGGATGATATAAGAGTCCCACCACTCAATTTCAGGGACATCACCTTCCTTCAACTCCTTCTTAGGAGCAATGAGGGCCAGCCTAGTTGAAGTATGAATGCCTGTTTTTCGAGCTGCCTGTGAGATCTCTGCCTGCAGCTTCTCCAGTTGAGCCTAAAGACAAGACAAGAAGATAAATTGAAGTCAAAGAAAACAGGGAAGTAGTAGAATCCCAAACTTTAAAACACTCCCTTGCTGAACTCTTTACATCTAATGCAACAAATTCATACCTTCTGAAAGCTTAGAAAAAGGAGCTGTTCTGCTTTACTTTATCCTTTACTTGGTTGATTTACATACATTTCACTCTCATCACTAGCCCTTTACCCCACAGTGCCTGCCTGCAGCAAATATGCAGAAATGGAATTTTATGAAAAACCTCATTCTGAGAGGATGAAAACAAGAAGGTAAAAGTCATCAAATATACAGTCAATCAAACTATCCAAGTGTGTGGACTGTCTGCAGTAAATTTTAACACCAGGCTAGCTTTCATTAGTTGCCCTGAGGGTTCTCAACGGTTTCCCTCCACTGACCGTTTATGTGGAGAATTTTCAAATTCAATTTTATTTCTACCTAAGTAGAATGTAAGTAACTGAGAAGACAAATCAGCTAAAAATCAAGTATTCCAGGAAAAAATATAGTATTTTAAAAATTACTCATTGCTTTACTACTTGTTTATCTAATTGCCAAAAACATAGAGAACTGAGTTGATGGTTATTTCAGGACTATATTCAATTTCCTTTGTCACCTTCCTAACTTCTTCAAAATTCTAGATTATATTCTAAGCCAGATACCTTAGTCCGTAATCGCTGGGCAATCTTTTCAAATTTGCCCTTGTCGTGGAATTTAAAAGTGCGTCTCTGGCGCTGGGAAGGGGCAATTGAGACTCGGGGGTCAAAAAAGGTATTAGACTCCATGTCTTCTGATGGCTTTTCTTTTAGCTGTTGCTTGAATTGTTCCCTCTTCACAGCCCGAATATTGGCCTTCAGAGTAGGCATACGGTGTGTCAGCTCAATTTCCTTGCCGGTTGCATCTACAGTTCGACCTTGTTCATCAAGAATCAGTGGTGTAGGTTTAGTTTGATCTTTTAACTCCACCTTCCTGAAAAATAGCCCACAAAGGAATAAATCCCATTTGGAACAATAAGTCAAGCAAAAAAAAAAAAACAAGCAGAAAATAAAAAACAGGGCTTCCCTGGTGGCGCAGTGATTAAGAATCCGCCTGCCAATGCAGGGGACACAGGTTCAATCCCTGGTCCAGGAAGATCCCACATGCTGCGGAGCAACTAAGCCCATGCGCCACGACTACTGAGCCTGTGCTCTAGAGTCTGTGAGCCCCAACTGCTGAGCCCGCGTGCCTATGCTCAACAAGAAAAGCCACCACAATGAGAAGCCCGCACAGTGCAATGAAGAGTAGCCCCCGCACAGCAACGAAGACCCAACACACAGCCCAAAAGAAATAAAATTAAAAAAAAAAAAAAAAAAAAGGAAAAATCAAAACCCAACAAAGACAACTAGGTTACAAAATTCTAAGGAACATAAACCCATCAGTGAATAATAACATCTTGACTGAAACTATCAAACTGGACAGTTGAGTATAGAGTACAATCAGATGAAATGAACTTATAAATTACAATGGTAAGAAATTGGAATCATATTTTCCTTTACTCCTTAATTCTTGAGTCAGACAGGGAATGGCAAACCAATTAAGGTGTTAAAAATGAAGTCTATCACCTTTACCCAGTTGTAGAGAACTCTCAGATCTGGTCTCACTCAATGTGGTTTAATGGATATAGTTCTGACCTAGGATCCAGGAAACCTGGCTCTATTCCTAGCTCCAATATTAGAGGAATAATCTTAACTTCAGTTCTACCAATTGTAAAAAGAAGATAAATTAAACTCTGCAACAAGGTGACCAAGAGAATAAATTCAATTGGTATTTATTGAGTATATGTAAGAAATATGAAACTGTCTAAGAAATTATTTAAGTTCCTTGCAAGAAGAGGATCAATAACATTCAAAGGTATTTATTGCTTCTCAAGCTTCAGAAACGAGTTCCATGAAACAGATACTCACGGGGGAGCAATGCCCATAGCATGGAGATTGGCCAGGCCCACCATGTTAGCATTGCCGATGAGCCCTGGCTTCAGTGCCAGCTGGGCTTGGATGCGGGCTTGTAGTTCAGCTGCTTTCCTTGCCTTCTCAATGGCATCATTCATGAAAGTGGCGGCCTGGGAGGGCTGAATAGTGTTGCCAATTGGAAGTCGCTCTGGTTGGGAGGAAGAAGGAGTCTTTGGCTGTGAGACAGAGAAAAAGAAATCAGAATCAGAAAAATTAGACAGGCAGGCAGATCTCCCCCGACCGCCCCCCGCCAACCCGCCACAGAGTGGTAGACTGTGGCAAATTGGGGGTGGAACATGCAGTCATCTTCTGGACTCTCATTTGAGTGGGTGGCAAGAAATTCTGTGCTAAAGATTCTTATTTTCAGAGAAATCTGGTTACAATACCTGAGGCGTAGGGGGGCTAATGAAACTTAGTTGTTTTTTCCTTTCCTCGATTTGCCGTGTTGCTGCCTCCATCATCTGTTTGATCTGCTCTCAGTGGGGGAAAAAGTTGAAAAACTGTTAACATCTTTTTATTTCTCTCATACAGGTTCCTAAACTCAAAGGGCTTTCAGGTTTAGAGAACAAAAAATTTTTGAATGACCCCATCATATTCTGCTTGTACCATAGGCTAGAAAATGTAATAAAGATAAGCGTACACAACTGAGCACTGGAATTTTTCAACCTATCTTCCCAAGGCAGGATTGGCATGTTAAGTATTGATAGTAACATAGCTTGCTAATTAAGACTCTGGAGTCAGGGAAACCTGAGTTTGAATCTTAACTCTGCCATTTAATGCTTGTGTGACCTTGAACACGGTATTTAATTTCTAAACCTCCAAGTGTCTAAAAGGGGTAAAAATGGTACCTACCTTACAGGGCAACTGTGAACATTTAGAAAATGCATGCAAAACTGACAGAACCCATAAACATTATTACACTTTAAAAAAAAAATCACCTATTTGTCCCTGAGTTCCTAGTTTGGGTAACGGGAGCCAACAATGTGAAGACTTACTTCCTAATCTCTGTAAATACTTTCCTCTGCCCTAAAGAAGTTCAGAATAATAAGCTTTGAGGACATGATCAAATAACTCTTCTTGAATTTTCCAGGAGTCCTGTGTCAAGGCGCTTCAAGATATTTAAAAAAAATTATTTTAAACATTTTTTTGAATAGGTGGTATATTTACATAGTTTAAAATGCAAAAAAGTACAAAAGGGTATACTGTGAATTCTTCCACCCCATTTTCTATAAAAAAACATCACCATCAGTTTCTTTCCTTTCAGAAATGTCATATATAATATGCAAATCCGTCCATCCACCCACCCATCCATATATATGTATATATTCTATTTCTCCTGTAACAAATTTTAAGTGGTACAAGAAATATTTACTACTTACATAGTATCAAAATTTTTTGTTTTTGTTTTTGTTTTGTTTGTTTGTTTTTTGTTTTTTGGTGGTACGTGGGCCTCTCACTGTTGTGGCCTCTCCCTTTGCAGAGCACAGGCTCTGGACGCGCAGGCTCAGCGGCCATGGCTCACGGGCCCAGCCGCTCCACGGCATGTGAGATCTTCCCGGACCGGGGCACGAACCCGTGTCCCCTGCATTGGCAGGTGGACTCTCAACCAATGCGCCACCAGGGAAGCCCCCAAATTTTTTAACAGTGCCCATTTTAAATACACAGATAATTCCTATTAAAAACATACAAAGTGAACTCAAAATTATTTAAGTGGATTATATCTTTTCTGTGTTATAGTATTTGGAAATACTTCTCTGCCATCGTGTTAAGTTCTAATCATTTCAATAATTTTCTTACTGACACAGTGAGGTAGATATTTGGGCAAATGATGTACGTAACACACCTTCCTTGCCACATAATAGGTGCTCAGTAAATGCTATTTCAAAAGACTTCAACTGGAATACTCCTGGTTAAACCAAGAAATGATGAAACATAAAGCAGGACATAAAATTTTTCCAATGCTAACAATTAATTCAAATTAAGGCCACGATAAATCTGGACCCATCCATCTCTTACTTCTTCAACTCTCAAAACCACCGCTTCCAGTTCTTAATTACTAACCTGGAGCTTAGTCAGCATGCCAGGACTCTCTGAGGGAGGCCCAGGGATTACTTCTGGCTCCTCTTCCACCTCCTCAAAACGGGGTATCCGTCGCTTTTTTACTCCTGATGATTCCTTGGAGATCTCAGAGTCATCACCAAACACTTCCTAAGGGAACCCAAGATGAAAGAAGAGTTGTATCCCTGCCCATGGGAGAAGGGAAGAATAATCCTAGTCCTTATCAGCATTTTGTGGCTTTTCCCAGAGTCTTCTAGACCCTCCACCAAATGGACCATCTCACCCATCTCAACTTCATTATTCTCCTACTCCAGTCAAACAAATTTCATCCCATGTGCTTATAAATGTTCCCATCCCAAGGTCTTTGCACATCTTACTGCCCACATTTGTAATGATCTCCCTCAACTTTTCCCCCAGTCCAAATCCTGCCTAAAACTCACCTCCTCCAGGAAGTTTTTCTCATTAATAATCTCAACCCACTCTGATCAAACTGTTGTTTCACATCCTTTTAGCGCTTAAGAGCTTGGTTCATACTAAGTAAAATTACACTGCTGATATTCTGTTTGCCAAGTGTTAAGTCTTTCAATGTTAGTACGTACTTTCTCCCAACTAGTGTCTAAGCTCTTCCAGGACAGGGGCTTTCTCTCTTTTTCAGTATTCCCCAATAACACTTTGTTCTCATCAAACAATGGGAACTCAAATATGTTGACTAATTTGCAAGGTGAACTTAACAGGACCAAGAGTGGCCAACTGGAAGGGACAATGGGAAAAAGCAAATGTACACACCGGTGGTAGGCTTTGGGTGACATCCCCTCTTCACTAGGAGGGCTCGTGTTTTGCAAGGACATATCCTCGGCCAGGGGCGAGCGCTTCCTGGAACTCCTACAGTTCAAGAAAAAGGACTCTCCCATAATATATTGTGTGGGGTGGGGACTGAATGGACCAAAATGGGACCCGAATCCCAAGGCTATCTAGATACCTCCTTCAAGAAACCATTTTTATTAATCCCACCCAATGTAGTCACTTTATTCACAGCAGGCCCTCAGCACTTATACAGTAGCACACCCTATCAAAACATAATCTTCACTCTACAGATCTGTGTATACTATGCATCAAGCATTCCCCCTTAAATGTAACAAAATTCAACAAAGTCTGAAACTCTATAGTCAACCCTAAAATTTATATGAAACTGCTACTCAGATTTCATAATTTGTGACTGTATTTTGTTGTGCCCTCCCATCCCCCAACCCTTAAACTGCAAATTCCTTTAAGGCAAGGACTATCTTTCATTCCTCTGATAACCCTACAAAACCCTAAACACAAAAAGCACACAAATCTCTATTTCTCTTGGTTCCACAGCCTGGCCAGGGACCAAGCAGACACTGCTTATTCACTCTTGTGCCTCAGGAAAAGCAAAAGGATAGCCAGGATATCAAAAGCACTTTGGAAGGTTTTTGATGGGAGTCACAGAAAAGATTTTTTTTTTAAGAGACAGACAGAGAAAAGAGATAGATCAGCTACTTGACACTGCTAATATTGAAAGAGGCCATGACCAATCAGCAACTATAGGATAAAAAGAGAAGGAGGTAAGGGAGGTAATGATGGTCCCTTTAAGTATTCCACTCATGGGGCCAGAGGACTGGCAATATGCTATGTGGAAAACAGTAGGCTCTCAAGACACACAGTAAAAAATCAATTGCTGTTAGGTGTCCCATCTAGAAGTCCATTGCAGAGTAATATCTCTAAAGGACCAACAATGAGGTCTATGGCTCAGGTAGCAGTGAAGTCACACTGTGAAGCAATCTATTAGGCCTCAAGTAAATCAAAGCATAAAATCTTAGAGCAATCAATTTATTGAAAAAAAAGAAAAAGAGAGAGACTTAGGGAAACATGAGAACCAAAACTCCTAACTGTATATGAAAAAGGACAAAGCTACCTACTGTTTCCTTGGAACGTTTCAACCCATGAACTTAGGTAGTTCATCACCATAAGATGGTGATAATACATGTTCACCCCCTCTACTCCAATGTCTAAGTACCTCTCTTAAATATTAGGTATTCTAATAGTGGATATTAAAGTGTGAGCCAGGTAAGCTCAGCAACTTTGTTACCATTCAAAACACTCCAAGCTCGTCAGATAGTTAACTGTAACCTACCTTTAGCTCTCGTTTTCTGCTCCTGTCACTGCTGGACTTGGAATGCCTAGAGCTTCGGCCTTCCTCCACAGCCTCAAACAGTTTGTCCACAAATCGGAGAGTAGAATCATCAAGAAAAGGTTTCAGGTGGTCTGGCAAGAAAAAAAGAGGTGGTAAGGTTGAAAACGTAAAAGTACTTAGTCCAATACTAGGCATACAATAGATGCCAACACTGGAATTTTATCCCTAAGAGGGAGAGAAATGCTTTCTTAAGTTCTTTGTAGGATTCTCATACATTCTCTTACACTGAATGACCTTGCCCCACGAGATAAAAATAGTTATAACTTTTTGGCATAGGAAGTAGCATAGCCAGAGTAACCTGTTTAGGCTGAGCATCAAAGTTTAAGATGAATAACCACTCTAACTTTTCCCAAACAGCAGTTGGAGGAGACTACCTTAACAAAATCTGCCTTCCTCAACATTTTTCATGTATTTTATAGAGACTTCTAAATGTTTAGATGTCGATCTGAATCTGAATATACCCATCTGACTTTAGTATATTTCCTAAGTAAATATAATTTAGGTAACTCAGTGCAGTGGTCAAAGGAAATCAGTCTGAGATTCAAAATATGTCACAAATAGTATAAAAAATAAAAAATAAGAGAAAAAGCAATATTAATTATTTAGGCTATTTCCATTATAATGCAAGAGAAACTGGCCTGACCTTTTTTTAGACACTCCCAACAGAGAGAATTTTGGGGAAGTTCAAAGCAGTATTTGGGGTCATCCTACATGTTAAGCCAGAAGTTTCAGAAAGGTACATACCAGCTGCCTTCTTCTTGTCCATGCCCTTCCCCACACAGTTCAGTGCTGCTGTGACCACTGTGGGCTCTGAGAAACCCAGCACCCTCTTCACTGTCTTCTCTATCCATGGTTTCAGCTCATCCAGCTCCCTCTTAGACAGTGCCATTCTTCAGGAAAAGGAGGATAGCTCAAAATAGGATTCAATACTGTACCTAAAAAGAAACCAGTAAAGAGTTAAGTTAGAGGACAGGAGAAGATTAAAATAACCCCAGGCAACAGTAAGTATATCAGGAATGCCTTCCCCACCTCTATTCTCAATCCTAGGCAAGTTCTTCTACTTCATTTCAAGACAAATACTTTCCCTACAACTCATACTTCAAAACAGAAAGGACTACATTCTGTTTGATTTTTAACCCTAACTCAGTAAGTATCAGTGGATCAGTGAAACCTGTGGAATAAACAAGCAAACCTTGGGAATAACCTAGTCTGAGAAATGAGTCCTAGCTTCTTTTTTGATTCTGTCATATTCAACAAGGACTGGCAAGCATATAACATGAAAACAAGACTGAAAAAGCCCACTCAGAGCCCAGCCGTTCTATTCTTCCTACTTCTGGGCAAGCATTCCTTAACCCAGGCCTTCTTTTAAGGGACACAAATGAGAGGGCTTATCCAGGTCAGTCATCCTATATTAAAACTCTTAATCCTTAAGACTGTTCTATCACATTTCTCTGTACTCATATTCATCCCAGTGGGAATTCTGTACCTAGATACTTTTCTCTCATGTTCTACAGGGTCTCTGTCATAACTAATCCCTCAGTTCAGAAAAGATTACCCTCGTTTTGGATGTACTCTCTCTCTTTTCACCTTTATTCTACTTTTTAGCTTAAGAGAGAAAACACCATCATAAAAGACTCTACAACAATCTTTAATTTGTTGTTTAATGTAAGTTAGTACAGTTCTTAAATTTTATTCATGTTTACATTTTTATCCCCTACTTAAATCTCAAAACTCTTCATGAGCATAAAGAAAATTTTTATTTCCCTGATTTTCTCCATATTGCCTAAAAGTCAATAAGCTAGACTGACCTCAATTCCAAGCTAACCTCCTCCCAGCAGTGCCACACATCAGGGTCCAATCTGGGATTCAATCTTTTAAGATGTTTTAAGACATCTTTTCTCCTATAAGGTACAGTCTGATTATCTTCTACATTTCTGGCAGGTTTATCCTCTATAAGAACTGTTGCTAAATAGTGTATTTAATTTTGGTATAACCATATGAAGCAAGTAGATTAAAGTCATGAAACTACGAGTGAAAGATTTTGTGCCTCAGTGACACGTTATATGAATACAGTGGCTCTATTTACCCATTATGAGATAGCAGTAGAGCCTATCAATCTCAACATGTGCATTGCTCAAAAGCATATTCAGACACCACAGAGAATGAAGAGCTCACACCGAGCTCTACCATTTACCAGCCTTCTGACAAGTAATTCCTCTCAGACTGGGTTCACTCATCTTACAAAATGAGGACGACTGCCATTCCTATATGGCACTTAATTCATTCAATAACTATTGATTGCATAACTAATTCTATCAGATGAAATGTGTGCCCAAGCACCATATGAACAAATGTACTCAACTTCAACCCATTCTTCCATAAGATAACGTGCAAACTAAACAGCCAGTGGCCAAAATAAAAGTTCCAAACGGTAACTAGCTTTGTCACGAATCAAATATTCAACAATAACTGCGTGGAGCGGGGCTGGGGTGGGGTGTGGTTATGGTGTGGAAGGAGAGGAAGGCAGAATGATCTCTGAATGAGCTGGGAGCAGGTTCTAATCCTCTGAAGCATTTCCTTACTCGGTGCTCTCCTTTGCTACAAGTCCAATTTCCTCCCTGAAACCCCCATTCTTCTCTTTTTGCTCTTTCCGTCTCTCTGACCCGCCCCCAACCCAGCCTCGTTCTACCCCAACTCCTCATCTCAGAGGTAGTCCCCTCAGCTCGTCCCTTTCCCGCCCCCGCCCTTTTCCTCTCAACAATCTCATTCCAACCCGTTCTCCCACAGAACTTGTTCTTTTCTCAGCTTCCTTTCCACTGAACCTTCCCGCCTCTGTGCTCCCCCTGGATTGAACCCTAGCCCCAGTCACTAGGACGCGAGGATACCCTCTCCGGGCCCGGGGCCACTACTCACCTCACTAACTTCAGCCCCTGAGACGGAGCCCGAACGTTACACCGGAACCGGAAACCTTCTGACCGCCCTATGGCCTGCCGTCGCTACTGCCACTGCCGCCGCCACGCCGCGGTCCCACAGCACGTGACGAGGGAGGGCGGGGCCGCCAATTCGCGCAGCCGTAGTGGGTACTTTCCCGGCGGCGGAGCGCCTGCGTGGCGGCGCTTTAAAGTTTTCCGCTTGCGCGTTACTTGCCTCCTTCGGTTTCCCCAGGTAAATCTGTTAGCTAGGTTATTGCAAAGTTAATGTTCCCTGAAGCATAAATTGGGCTACTTGTAGCATTCCTAGTGTGGAGAATAAGTGCGCTAAGGTCATGGTAGAACTAAAAACGGGGCTTCTGCGTTTGGGCTAAACCTGGACTTTGTGATAGAAAGTAAACCCTGCGAGAGTCGTGATCACTAGCATTAGCCGCCCCCCGCCCCCTCCTTAGCCTTTTCCCCTAACTTCGCAGTGGTGCCAGAGATCACCCAGAAAGACAACGAGTATAGGAGGACTCTGAAAATAGTAGCCCATCCCTCCCCTTTACTGTTTTTTTCTTCCATTCATTCACGCAACAAATAATTATTGAGTGTCTATTACTATATGTCAGGCATCCACTGAGATTCAGTATTACTTAATGATTAAGCAAGAGCACGAGTTTTAAAGCCAGTGTCTGTAGTTGTATTCCAGCTCTCCCACTTTAGCTGCGACATTAGGCAAGTTACTTAAGCCCTCTCTTTCCTCACTTGTAAAAAAAAAATCCACCTCATAGGGTTGCTGTGAAGACCACAAGAGTGACAGTGCTTCTCACAGAGTTCAATACAGCTACTTGACATATAATAATATATCCAGTTGGCTACATAAATGTATAGTAGACATCCTAAACTTACATGATGAAAACTAAGCTCCTGATTCTAACCACCACCATCCCCAAAAAACCAGCTCCCAACACAGTCTTCCTCATCTCAGTTAATGGCAACCATATTCTTACAGTTGATGACAAATTGAAATTATAATGGAGTAACCACAGTACAGGTATAAAAAATGGAGTTGGGAGGCCATTGAGGATCTGGTCTCAGACACAATTCTGCCCCACCGAGAACTTGAACTTTCTTTGAACTTTACAGAATCCAAGGACACCACTGGTCATATTCAGAACAACACAGCCACTGCATCCTTATGGTCTCAAGGTCTCCCCTTGTAACCGTGCAACCAATTCGGACCCCAACCAACCCTTATTTAACAAGCACCCTTGGGAATTTCCTGGCGGTCCAGTGATTATGACTTGGCGCTTTCACTGCCAGGGCCTGGGCTCAGAACTAAGATTGTGTAAGCCGTGTGGTGCAGCCAAAAAAAAAAAACCCCCCAAAACAAGCACCCTTACTTCTTGCCAGCTCCAATTATAATTCTTGATAAAGAACTCACGTAACTAACTATAACCTTGTGGGTTTTGCCTTTATAAGCCTCCCCCATTTTGTAGTCTGGTGGAACACATTTCAAGTGCTTCTTGAACATGTGTCTCCCTCAGTAAGATCCTGTACAAAACTAAACTCACAACTCTCATGTTGTACATTTTTCTTTCAGTTGACAGCTATGCAGGCCAATAATCTCAGTCATCCTCAACCCCTCTGTTTTTCTCCAGCCAATCAGCAAGTTCCATTGGCCCTACTTTCAGAATATATACAGAAACCATCTGCTTCTCACTACCCTACACTACTATCACCTTAATGCTTGGATTATTTTAGTAGTCTTACTGCTTTCTCTTGCTTCCACCTTGTCCTCACTTAGTCTAGTTTCATCACAGTTGCCATCATGATCATGTTAACACATCAGAAATGTTGTATCACTTCCCTGCTCAAAACTATCCACTGGCTTTACATAGCACTCAGAGCAAAATGCCCTACAAGATCTGCCCCACTCCATTATCTCTGTGATTTCACCTACTACTCTTTTCTTCACTCATTCACCTCCAGGATCTTACCCCTTGTTGTTGCTTGAACATGCCAAGCATAATTTCACCTCAAGGCCTTTGCACTTGTTGCTTTCTGCCTGAATTGCTCTTCATCCAGATATGTGCATGGTTTGCTCCCTAACTCCTTCAGGTTTTTATTCAAAATTAACCTCAGAGAAGTCTTCCCCAGCCACCCTATTTAATTCTGAAGTCTGCTTGGCACAGTTAACTATCCCATTTTTTGTTTCCTTTTTCGTTTTTCCATAGTACTTATCACCACTTATGCTACTAGTACTAGGTAATTTTCTTATTATATTTATTGCTTATCATCTGACTCCCTCTGCTAGAATGTCAACTCCATAAAGGTAGTAATCATTGTTCATTGATATATCTTAAATGCCTACAATACCACCTGGCACAATTAAATATTTGTTGAATTAAAGAACAGATCTTTTTTAGCAGTGGATCTTACAGGCCTCAGAACCTGCTGAAGTCTGGTGTCCTAAAGAATGGAAATTCCTGGGAATTCCCTGGCAGTCCATTGTTAAGACTCCATGCTTCCATTGCATGGGGCGCAGTTTCGATCCCCGGTCCAGGAACTGAGACCAGGGAACTGAGATCCTGCATGCCACAAGATGCGGCCAAAAAAAAAAAAAAAAAGAATATGGGGGAGATGCTTGGTGACTACATAAATGTCATGTTTCTCATCAAATTTTCACCTTCTAATTTTAGCATTCATTGATGATCTTGCCTGAAACAATAATAAGGTGATTGCAAAAAAAAAAAAAAAAGAATGGAAATTTCTTACAGACAGGAATTGTGTTACATTGTATCTCCAGGACCTAGGATAGTGCCAGGCATAGTAAGGGCTCAATGTTTTTCTCATTTTACCAATAAGCCTGTATTTTTCCCTTTCTTCAAAATGAGGCTTTGAACCTACTTTAAATACCCTTTTAACCAGTGTTTCTGAAAAGCATTGTGTGTGGGTGAAGTATAGTGTGGAAAAAGCATGCCCCCAAATTGACACAATTTTATACATGGAAAATTAAAAAAAAAGTATTATTTCCAGGTTACAAATGACAGAAATGAAAACCCTAAGATGTTTTCTTAGATAGTAGGTTCACTGGAAAATGCAGTTATTCTCTAGGGAGGTTATTAGAATTTCCCAGGGAGCACCACATTTTTGTATTTAAAGTCTGGTTTTTAATAAGCTTGAGAAGTATGTACCAAAATCTACCTTCCCTGATGGTGCAGGATGAAACAATGAATAAATCCTGGCTTTGAGTAGCAAACTGAGGGTACTTCTTGCTCAACTAATTCATGCCTCAGTTTCCTCATTGTATCTACAGCACCTAAAACCAATGTCTCACATAAGTCACTCCAAAAAGTCTGTTGAATGGGTTAATGAGTTCTAACTCTGCAGAGTTGTAAATTTATTTCCAGTGCTTTTAACTACCTGGATTCAATTCCCCATAGGGATTTTCTTTTTTTTTTAAGGAACTGATTTTATTTCCAATATTTGGAATCAGACGGGTTTAAATCTTAGTCTCGCAGTTACTAGCTGTGAGTCTGTGATTCCTTCAGGTAATACATTTTTCTGAGGTTGTTTCCCCAATTATAAAATGAGAATAAGTCTCTACTTTAAAAGAATATTGTGAGGATTAAATGTAACTTATAAAATATATTTAGGGACTTCCCTGGTGGCGCAGTGATTAAGAAACCGCCTACCAATGCAGTGGACACAGGTTCGAGCCCTGGTCTGGGAAGATCCCACATGCCGTGGAGCAACTAAGCCCGTGCGCCACAACTACTAAGCCCGCGCGCCTAGAGCCCGTGCTCCGCAACAAGAGAAGCCACTGCAATGAGAAGCCCGCGCACCGCATCGAAGAGTAGCCCCCGCTCGCCACAACTAGAGAAAGCCCATGTGCAGCAACGAAGACCCAGCGCAGCCAAAAATAAAATAGATTTAAAAAAACAACAACAGAAAACAAATAAAACATATTTAGTGTGACACTGGCATAAGGATGGACATATAGATCAACAGAATAGATTAGACAGCCCAGAAGTAAACCTCACACATACTGTCAGTTGTTGTTTTGGTTTGGTTTTTTTGGCTGCATTGGGTCCTTGTTGCTGCACGTGGGCTTTCTCTAGTTGAGGCGAGTAGGGGCTACTCTTTGTTGCGGTGCACAGGCTTCTCATTGCAGCGGCTTCTCTTGTTGCGGAGCATGGGCTCTAGGCGCGCGGGCTTCAGTAGTTGTGGCACGTGGGCTCAGTAGTTGTGGCTTTCGGGCTCTAGATCGCAGGCTTAGTAGTTGTGGCACATTGGCTTAGTTGCTCCGTGGCATGTGGGATCTTCCCGGACCAGGGCTCGAGCCCGTGTCCCCTGCATTGGCAGGCAGATTCTTAACCAATGCACCACCAGGGAAGTCCACGGTCAGTTGTATTTTTTAAAGGGTGTCAAGACCATGCAATGGAAAAAGGACAGTCTTTCATCAGATGGTGGAGGGAAAACTGGACATCCACATGCAAAAGAATGAGACCCCTTCCTCATTCCATATACAAAAATTAACCCAAAGTGGATCAAAGACCTAAACTTAAGAGCGAAAACCATAAAAAGTCTTAGAAGAAAACGGGAAAATCTTCATGACATTGAATTTGGCAATAATTTTCTTGGATATAACACCAAAAACACAGCAACAAAAGAAAAAATAAATTGGACTTCAAAATTAAAAACTTCTGTGCATCAAAGGACACCATCAAGAGAGAGATAAGGTAATCCACAGAATGGGAGAAAATATTTGCAAGTCATATATATAATAAGGGATTAATATATAGAATATATAGAGAACTCCTATAACTCAACAAAAAACAAATAACCCAATTAAAAAATGGGCAAAGGACTTAACTACACATTTCTCCAAAGAAGATATACAGGTGGCCAAAAAGCACATGAAAAGATGCTCAACATCATTAGTCATTAGGGAAATAAAAATCTAAACCACAAGGAGATACCACCTCACATCCATTAAGTTGGTTACTATCAAAAAAACCCAGAAAATAACAAGGGTTGACAAGGATATGGAGAAATCGGAACCCTGCACACTGTTAGTGGGAATGTAAGATGGTGCAACCACTATGGAAAAATGCATGGTGGTTTCTCAGAAAACAGGATTACTCTATAATCCAGCAATTCTCCTTCTGCGTATATACCCTAAGAACTAAAGTAGGGTCTCAAAGAGATACTTGTACATCCACGTTCATAGCAGCATTATTCACATTAGTGAAAAGGTGGAAGCAACCCAAGTGTTTAATGACAGATGAATGAATAAACAAAATGTGGCATATATATATATATACACATATATATATACACACACGTATACATATATATAAACACAATGGAATATTTTTCCTCCATAAAAAGGAATGAATTTCGGATACATAGTACAACATAGATAAACCTTGAAAATATGCTAAGTGAAATAAGCCAGACACAGAAGGGAAAATATTGTATGATTCCACTTATATGAAGTACCTAGAATAGACAAATAGAATAGACAAATACCAGGGGCTATGGGGAGGCAGGGGGTGGAGGGTGGGAAATTATTGCTTAATGATTAGTTTATTTCAGGTGATGAAAATGTTTTGGAAATAGATAGTGGTAATAGTTACATAACACTCAATTGTACATTTAAAATGGTTAAAATGGTAAACTTCATGTTATATATATATTTTAAAAATATTTATTTATGCATTTGGCTGCGCTGGGTCTTAGTTGCAGCACATGGGATCTTCATTGCCGTGTGCAGGATCTTCGTTGTGGCATGTGGGATCTTAGCTGAAGCATGCAGGATCTTTACTTGCGGCAGGCAGGATCAAGTTCCCTGACCAGGGAGCGAACCCGGGCCCCCTGCACTGGGAGTGAGGAGTTTTTGTTTGTTTTAATAAATTTATTTATTTATTTTTATTTTAGACTGCGTTGGATCTTCGTTGCTGTCGAGGGCCTTCTCCATTTGCGGCAAATAGGGGCTACTGTTTCGTTGCGGTGCGCAGGCTTCTCATTGCGTGGCCTCTCGTTGCGGAGCTCGGGCTTCAGTAGTTGTGGCACGCAGGCTCAGTAGCTGTGGCTCGTGGGCTCTAGAGCGCAGGCTCAGTAGTTGTGGCACACGGGCTTAGTTACTCCGCGGCATGTGGGATCTTCCCAGACAAGGGCTCGAACCCATGTCCCCTGCACCGGCAGGCAGATTCTTAACCACTGTGCCACCGGGGAAGCCCGAGTGAGGAGTCTTAACGATTGGACCACCAGGGAAGCCCCTGAATCTAGATCTTTTTGACTATGTAAAAAACTATGCATATAAGGTAGCTGGCACATACTAGAAGCTCCAATCTTTTCCTTTTCCTTCAACTACCTACACTTAATACAGTCTGAAGTAATAGTCGCCTACGTATGAACGAGTTCTGTTCCAAGAGCACGTTCCTAAGTCCAGTTTGTTCGTAAGTCCAACAAAGTTAGCCTAGGTACCCAACTAACACAATCAGCTATATAGTACTGTACTGTGATAGGTTTATAACACTTTTCACACAAATAATATGTACATAAACACAAAAAATAAAACATTTTTAATCTTACAGTATAGTACCTTGAAAAGTACAGTAGTACAGTACAACAGCTGGCATGCAGGGGCTGGCACGCACATTCACATCTTTGAAAGTTCGCAACTTGAAGGTTTGTATGTAGAGGACTTACTGTATACAGTGAGTAGTTATTCCTTAGTATTTTCAGTTAACATATAGGCAAACTTATTTTGTACTTAGTGCACTTCTGAAAACTTTAAAAGTACAATGTCAAAGTTACTCAACAGAGTCCAATTTTATAGGGGTACCTGTTTCCAGAGTACTAAACATGCCTGACAGAGGTAATCCAGTGGACATCTAAGAGATGTCATAGGTGCCAAAGATCAAGGTAGGAGGTATTGTATCTATCGCCCTGTAACTGTGTAAATACTAAAGCACCCCTCTCCCGAAGGTGATGCAGGAATAAAAAGATTAGGGCAATCCCCACTCATTAAATGACCATGAGGTATCCTCTAGCTTCCCAGAGCAGGGAGTGGAAGGTCTTTCTTCCATGACAGCACAAGCTGATTGGGACCTCACCAAGTCAGCTACCCGCTTCTCACACACGAGGCCTTTTCTACTGGCCACCTGCTACAACCCATCATTGTTCACTGCTCCAGGGTACATGGACAGTGGTCAGGACTGGAGATTAGGCCAAGCAGGGGATAATTTCAGAGACGAATTCCAGAGCTCAGCCACCCCTTAGTATTTTGGAGAGACGACAGAAGCAACTTTAGCCTCAGAGAAAAGCTGCCACTTAACAGGGAGAAGTGCTGCCAAGTAACTGACCTAGTACTGCTATCACAAACATACCCTGCCATTTTGGCAGAAGCCAGGTCTTTATTCTTTAGCAACAGCAATCGGCAACAGGTGATAACATGCTGTGGCTCAAAATCATTCAAAAGTAATGTACTGAAGACCAAATTCAGAGATTGAAAGGTGATTCAGAAGTATCAGTGTCTAATTTGTTAACTTATTAAAATGAGGTTGTACAAAAGTAACAGAGTTGAAGACAGTCTGTATATAGAATTTCTCAAATCGCAATGTAAGTCTCTAGAGGGCAAGGACCAGATCTTCTCTTTATAAGCTGTTTCTATGTAGTGCCCAATAATATGCTTTATTCACCATGGGCCTTATTCCTGATGACTGGAAGAAAGACAATCAAGCCCTGAGACACAAGGAACACTGGTTCCATCATATCTGCTGTTTAATCAGTAAGTATGGTTATTGTGAAAGAGAGAAAAAGACACTGAAGACAGAATTAAGACCAGAAGAAATCTGAAGCCACGCTACTGTACCACAAGGGGGCAATATTTGAACACTAGTAATCTGGAGAGATAGGAGGCTTGGCGGTTGGCTCTGTTTACCTTTTTTTAACATCTTTATTGGCGTATAATTGCTTTACAATGGTATGTTAGTTTCTGCTTTATAACAAAGTGAATCAGTTATACATTGTTTACTTCCTTTTTTAACACTATGCTGAGTGGGCTCCACTCAGGGTGAGGAGAGGTGGGCTAGCCACTTCCACCTACCCTCTGCATTCTCCTACAGGGGTTGGCACCAACTCTCCTTATACTAGCAGGCATGGCTGTTAGGGGACCAAGATCAGAGGAAACACAGCAGGAGAGGAAGCAGAGCAGCTGGTCTTCCCACAGTGGTCAGATGCCCCAGCTGTCAAGAGTCCCATGCCCAGGAGTGCCTGTTGAGGAGGGCAGGGGTGGTAGTTGGGACCTCCACCTGGAATCTCTTTTGGGTACTATAGGGCAATGGTTCTCCAATTTTAGCCTGCATCAGAATCACCTGCAGGGCTTGTTAAACTAGATTGCCGGGCTTCAACCTCAATTTCCAATTCAGAAGGTCTAAAGTAGGGTCCCGAATTTTCCATTTCTAGCAATTTCTCAGGTGATGCTACTGCTCTGAAGATCACACTTTGAGAACCACTGCTGTAGGTATTTCTGGCTTTGTGCCCTTCTTTCTCTTAACACTCCCCCATTCTCTCTTTCCTACCATCCATCTACTGCTTTCTTTTCCACCAACCCCCCACTAGCCTCCTTTAGGAAAACCACAGGAAAGACAAAACAGGGGTGAATGTTAGACTGTCTTAAGGATTCCTTTGGGGAAGGGTTCCAGCTCTCTACCCCGGTTGATGGGTGTTTCAGAAGTAGAATTTATTCCAAATATATACATGTTTCCTCTTCCTTTTACCTAATAGTTGGAAGGCAGTTCAGTAAAGAGGAATAGATCGTTTTCCAATAATAAGATCTTGCTTTGGGTTTCATAAAAATTAGACATGGTAGATATACTCCACTACATTTTAAAAAATTTCCCACTTCAGACTACATTTTAAAAAATTACAGTAAAATATAGGGACTTCCCTGGTGGTCCAGCAGCTAAGGCTCCATGCTCCCAATGTAGGGGGCCCAGATTCGATCCCTGGTCAGGGAACTAGATCCCTCATGCCACAATTAAAGATCACGCAGGCGGCAGCGAAGATCCTGTGTCCTGCAGCTAAGACCTGGCGCAGCCAAATAAATAAATAAATATTTTTAAAAAATTACAGTAAAATATACAAAACATAAAATTTAACATTTTAATCATTTAAGTGTACAGTTCAGTGGCATTAAGTACATTCACGTTGTTGTGCAAGTATCACCACTATCCACCTCCAGAACTTTTTCATCTTCCCAAACTGAAACTCTGCTCTCATTAGACAATAATTTCCCATTCCCCTCCTCCCAACACCAGCCCTTGGCAACCACCATTCTACTCCCAGACTACTTTTGGACTCGGTTTCTCTTTGACTTAATACAAGAAAGTGTCTATTGCTGACTAGTGGGATTGCTTCTATATATGCAGGCCTTCTTGCATATATGTGAGTTTATTTTAAGAAAGGTAAGAGAAAATGGGGTGGGAGAAAGAAAAGAGGTGGAGACAGCTGGATAAGGATTTTCACATGGGGCCTCCTATCCACAGGCCTCAGCAGCCCTGCCACGGATCCGCCCGATTCTTTCGCATCAAAAAGTTGATCTTGCGAGCCATTTCCATGTTGTAGATTCGCCGGCAGGTTTCATAGCTTTCCCTCTGTCGCCGGCGGCAAGGCTTCTCGTAGTATCGCCGTCGCTTTATGTCCTCAATGAGCCCATCCATGGTAAGGATTCTGTATAAAGACAGGCAATGAAGTTAGAGGCTTAGGCTCCTTATTGTTCTTTTCCAGTTTCACAATGATCAGAAGTCAATTGACCAAATAACTGGTGTCTGTAAAAATGGTGTGAAATAGTGACCATACAGCATTAACTGCCAACATATAGAGGCCAGGCACCAAAGAGTAATATGTGGGGAAATAAAAAGGCAATTAATTATATAGTCCTTGTTCTTGGGGAGTTTATAGTCATGGTCATGTTCTCAACCTTTTTTTTTTTTTCTACCACAACACACCTGAGGGATATGGCACAGACCCAAAAGAACAGTGGCTCCCTATGGCAGTGAGTCTCAACCAAGGGGCCATTTCAGAATTTTCAAATGGGTAAGTCATTTGCAATAGGAAAAAATAACTAGGGGTGATTCCTATGTGGTCCTTAGTGGAGAATGTAGTTCCACCCCTACTGTGTTTAAGAGCTGATGCAGCTGAAGTCTGTAAGTCTGAGAATATCTGGGCCCACTTAATACAGGGAAAGAAGAGGCCCTTATCACAACAGTGATACAAATGGGAGCATTAAAATAACAGCCTCAACCATGATTTTTCCATGTACCACATGCTCCAACCACACTACTTTACTGACTACTCTCTGAACACACATTAATACCAAGTCTTTACTCACACTGCTTCCTCAGCCTAGAATGCCATCCCCAACCCCTAGCTGCCAACCTTCTGAGATTTTCCACATCTTTTTGATGCTAAATCCAGATGCCATCTCTCCACAAAAGCTTTCTCATCTTCTTAGAGAAAATAATTTTGTTGTATACCTATTTAGAGATTATTTCATTTTGCCATTCTGTTAGTTATTTATACAAATGTCTCCCTCACTAGACTAATAATCCCTGAAGACAGAAACTGTATTTTATTAATCTTAATTTAGTTCAATTTGTTTTTTCCTGCCCACCTAATTCCTTACAACACAGTTTCTCTTGGATTCATAACACGCTTAACTCAAACCAGCCCCTTTGTTCTCACTGAGCCAAGAGGACACGGGGGTTTATTCTATAACCTACCTTATCCCTGGGCTCCTGAGAGCTCTGGCTCCAATCTGAAACTTGTCTCTCCCTCTCAACTCATCATCAGTTGGTCCTGAGGAGGTCTGGAGGCACCTGCTGCTACTGCCCTCCATCCTGGCACTGTCTACATGACCCCATTCCTGCCTACCCTTTCCTTTCATTACATGTAAAAAGTAAGTCAAAAACACAATTGGAGGTAGAGAAGTTGAGACATGGCTATTATAACTGGAAGGGGGACAGAAGAAGGAAATAAAAATAAGAAACTACCAGCTACTTTCGCTCAGTGGGAAACCCTATTTATTGCTGGTATGTTATACCAAAAGCCCAAGATAACAATAATAGATTGAACATGTACTTGAAAAGATTTGAGCTTTGGGTACATTACAAATGTGAATAGACATGGGAACCACTATCCTTTGGGATCCTCTCCTAGGCTCCTGCTGATTTGTAAGATCAGTTTGTCTAGGTTTTAGTGGCAGGGAGATGGGAGGCAAGGGAATTGTTGCCAACTCCCAGAAGTGGGAGGAGTAGATAATTCAGGTTCTGTTGAAAACACAGTCATGCCCAGAAGTCATGTGGATCCAACACTAGAGTTGTACAATAGAAAAGCAGAGCACCAGGGGACTTCCCTGGTGGCACAGTGGTTAAGAATCTATCTGCCAGTGCAGGGGACACAGGTTCAATCTTTGGTCCAGGAAGATCCCACATACCACAGAGCAACTAAGCCCCGTGTGCCACAACTACTGAAGCCTGTGCTCTGTAGGACCCACGTGCCACAACTACTGAGCCCACATGCTGCAACTACTGAAACCCACGCGCCTAGAGCCCGTGCTCCACAACGAGAAGCCACCACCACGAGAAGCCACCGCAATGAGAAGCCCACACACTGCAATAAAGAGTAGCCCCCACTCGCCGCAACTAGAGAAAGCCTGCACGCAGCAACGAAGACCCAACGCAGCCAAAAAAAAGTAGGGCACCAAAGACTCAGTATCTTGGCCCACAAAAGGGTCTCCATTGCTGGCTTTCTTCCTAATTTACCCTTAACTGTTGGTATCCCTCCAGATTCTGACTGTAAACCACCTCCTTTTTGGTTCTACATGATTCCCTTAAACTTTACCACGGGCTTCAACCCTGTGCACAATGCAATCATTTCCTGAAGAGCCTTTAAAAAGTATTCATGCCTTGGTCCCGTTCCTCAGAGATTCTGATTTAATTGGTCTCCAGTGGGGTTATACACTGGGTATATTTTAAAACACCCCTCAGGTAATTCTAATGTAGAGCCACACTTGAGAACGGACCCAGACACTGGTTGACTCTTAAATCATTATCTCTAGCCCCAATCTTACCTTAGAACTAGACTGATGTTTCCAACTGCCTTAAACCCCACAAAAACCAATTTTATTATCTCCTCCTAAAATTCATTCTTCCTCCTCTGTACTCTCTCTGCTAATGGCATCACCAGTTAGTCAAGCTAAAAATCTCACCATGTTCCTGGAGTAGGCCTTCTCCTTTACTTCCTACACTCACATTTACAATATCCTATACATTCTATAACCTGAAATAGTTCTTAGATCTTTTCCTTCTCTCCTTTCCCTATGGCTACAGCTCTTATTATGGTCCTTATACCTGTACTGAAATAATCATCTAACTGGTCATTTAATCAATAAGTATTTATGGAATCCCAACTCTGTACCAGACACTGTGTTAAATGCTGAGGATATAAAACAAACTTAGGCATAGTTCCCTACCCTTGCAGTCTAGTAGAGAAGACAATTATGTAAGAATTACAATAGAATGTGATAGATGCAAAGATAAGGGAAGCACACAGGAGAGGTATATAATATGGACTTGATAAGAAGGTGGTTATGAAAGCTTTCTAACGGATACCTTATTTGAATTGTGAAGGGTAAACAGGCTGCCCTATTTCCATTCTCCTTCCCTACACCAATTATTGTCCTAAAACATAAATCAGATTGTGGGACTTCCCTGGTGGCGCAATGGTTAAGAATCCGCCTGCCAATACAGGGGACACAGGTTCGAGCCCTGGTCTGGGAAGATCCCACATGCCACGGAGCAACTAAGCCTGTGCACCACAACTACTGAGCCTGCCCTCTAGAGCCCATGAGCCACAACTACTGAGCCCGCGTGCTGCAATTACTGAAGCCTGTGCTCCTAGAGCCTGTGCTCCGCAACAAGAGAAGCCACTACAATAAGAAGCCTGCACACCGCAACGAAGAGCAGCCCCCGCTCACCCCAACTAGAGAAAGCCTGCACGCAGCAACGAAGACCCAATGCAGCCAAAAAGAAATAAATAAATAAATTTATAAAAAATAAATCAGATTGTGTACTCTGATGTTAAAAAATCTTTCCCAATAAACAAAATAGTCTAAGCCAGTGGTTCCCAAACTTGTTTGCACATTAGAATACTTGGGGATCTTTAAAACATTCCAATTAAGTCACAAGAGGGGAGGGACACGGGCAGGGTTTGTTAAGTTCCCTAGGTAATTGCAATGTGCAGATAAATTTGGGAACCACTAGTCTAAGCTCAAAGTCCTAAACAATTGAGCTTCACCCTCTCTCTCTCTAGCTTTATCTTTAGTAACTTGCCCTAAAAAGCCTATGTCTAGTCATATTGAACTAGGTGTTTTCCAAACACACTACACATGTATTTTTTACATTTGTTCATGATGTTCTCTGAGAATATGATTCCTTTCTTTTTCTGTTTTATGAAAGGCTATTTATTCTTCAAAGGCCCAGATCAACGGGTAATGATATTTGTAAACTGGTCCAGGAGAAATTAATCACTCCTTCTCTCTGTTCCCAACGCACAGTGGTTCTCAAACTTTGAGACTCATGCAACAGTCACCTGGAAAACTTGTTAAAACACTGACTGCTGTGCCACCTCGTTTCTGATTCCACAGGTCTAGGGTGGGGCCCACGAATCTGCATTTCTAACAAGTTCCCAAATGATTTTGCTGCTAATGGTCCAGGGAGAACCAATGCCACAGTACACTTTTAAAGCACTGATCAGACAGTATTATATTTAGCCATGTTTGGTTTTTTAGTTTTTAAATTCTCCCTTACAGGGTTGTGTGCCTTCTAAGGTTAGAGATTAAGTCTTTCATTTTTGCATTTAATATAGTACTTGGCAAAAGAGCAAATATCAGTAAATGTATGACAAAAATGAATCCTCTTGGTGACTGACAAATGTCCACAGCTCAAGGGATTAAGTTACTTTCTAACAGACACAGTTCTTGGGAATATTAGCTCAGAAGGCCTCAATATTACCTTTACTAAAATGGCACATTAGACTTTAGATAGCATTTTCATATCCATGACCCTAATCATTATCCTATGAAACTGATTAAGCAGGTAATGTCATCTTTTTTTTTTTTTGGCCGCACCACGTGGCATGCAGGATCTTACCACTGGACCACCAGGGGAGTTCCCGTCATCTCTTTACAGATTAGAAAACTGAAGTTTAGAGAGGCAGACCTGCCCAAGATCACAAAATGGAGCTAGCAGTAGAATTCAGGTCTTTAGTGCACTCTGCTTCTCAAACAAAATAGCACTCTGCTTCTCAATATCCTATACTCTCAATATCCTATCCTAGCACTCTGCTTCTCAAACAAAAACCACTGAGGTTTGAAAGACAAATTACTGCGGTGCCCATGGGCAAAGCGAAAAATGAGGGAGGAAAGAGCTGGGCCAGGCTCCTTAATTAGAGTAAAAAGATGCAAGCCAAGAAGACATGGCACACAAAGGGAAAGGAACTGATCCAAACAATTAAGTATTTATTTCTGTCTAGACCCTGTTTACTGCTATTTAATGAAGGCCACTTTTTGGACTAGAGACTAGTATATTAGAGAAAAAACAGAAAAAACAACAACAAAGAAAGTTCCTGAAAGGGAAAGACTGGAAATATAAAAAGGGCAAGGAGACTGG